ACCTGGGACGAATGATGAATGAAGCTGATCTGAAAGAGACGCGCGACTCTCCTCCGGGCGACGACACAACGCTGAGAGGATGTTTTCCTCTGAAGAGAGCTCACGGTCGGCGCTGTGGGCTTAATTTGATAATCACCAGCACCATCATCATAATCTTTATGGATATCAGGACAGTCACAAATCACAACACGCCGCTCGTTGGTGGCCCAGGGGCAGAGCAGAGACGAAATAAAACAAAAACAATCTAATGACCAAATCCTCAATCCGACTTTCCCTTCTTTGGCTGTGATTCGAGCCTCTGTAAAGGAGCTTACAGCCCATTACTGCCCTAATCCAGAGAGTGCTCGTCCTCCGCAGGACCTGCGCTTCTGTCAGCAGATGTTCACTGACCTCCAGCCTCACCGAATCACACTAATAAACACCGCAGATGCCTTCAAAACAGCCGCGCTCGTCCTCCTCTGTGTCACGTGATCTGAGCTTCAACACACACGTCATGAAGCGCTTCCACCTCCACCGGGAAACACTTCCTGTTTACACACGTTATATTACAGATATTTAAAAGCTCATTATCATTTAAAGGCATATGCACATGCTAACAACAGAGCTGTTTTTGACCAGGTAAAATGAGTGTTTTCTTAAAATACTAATGAGAATTTTTAATATACGTATATTACAAAGACCCTAAACATTCATATTAACTTGTACAAAAATGGCATTATATGACCCCTTTAAATAGTGTCGACTAGAGCCAGACCGATATTATCGGCCGATATTAGGCATTTTCCATAATATCGGTATCGGCAGTTATAATGGCAGATAAATGAATATTTAAAAAATAAAATAAAAACGGAAGAAACACGCTTCAATCATCTCTCCTCGGCCTGTTATATTGAAAATGCATGTTTTACAATTTGCAGTATGACGTTATCTATTGCTAATCATAGACTAGCTAACCACAAAGCTAGCTAATGCCACTATCATCAGTGGAAGACCGCTAACGTTAACATTAATGAGTTTGGAAACCACAATGAACTTTTTCTGCCTAAATAAAGTAATGATTACTGTATTTATAACTAGCATATCTCTATTACAGTCCCTGCATTGTAAAATGTAAGTTATACTTGCGAGGAGTGAACATTTAGACATAGAGAAAAAGTATCAAACGTATCTTGTGCAGAAAAGTTAGCTTTTCTTTTACACGTGTGTGAAATCCAACGATATTTAATTTTAAAAAAATATCGTCCGATATATCGGAATATCGGATTTTTAAAACCCAAAAATATTTGTATCGGTATCGGCCTTCACGGCTAGACTAGTGTCTAGCATTTCAAGTGGATCAAAAAAGTTCACTAAAGTTGTCCCAGGACAAGAACAGGTATTGTTCAGAATTCATGAGTAACTATAGGATGAAAGGTTTTGATCCACTTTAAATGTTGACTACTGTATAAAAAATGTGTTTGTATTTATATACACAAAATAATTATACACAGTACACACACACATATTATGTAAACACAAACTTTCATTTTGGATACGATTAATCGTTGCCCAACACTAATAATTATTTTCCAATATTTTCTCGATAACAATAATTAGACTATATTTTTCTGAGTATTATTATTGTGTTGGTATCGTAACAGGTTTAGCACTGCCGTGGACAGTTTTTGATTTTCTATGATTTCCTTCAGTCGTGATGGTCAGTTTAGTCAATAAATTTAAATTTACCTCTTGTGGGCATTTTTACCCTTATAAAGGCATTTTTTAACCTAATAAATGTATGCATCCATCATATTTTGTGTCAAATTGAAACATTCAATCAATACAAAAATAATAATAATACTCGAAATACTTTGTCAGATTGGATATCGTTAAAACAACAATCACAATATTAACGAAAACGATAATTTTAAACGGTAAGTACATTTAAGATCACTTCAGTAGCTAAATATATAATTACAAGGACACACTGAAATAAAGCGCTGTACCTGAAAAGTGAATCACAGAATGGAAATGTGACTGTTTATTAATTTGCATGTAAAATCTAGTGTGAATCTATTTAATGAATGTCACAGTGTGCTTTTGATGTTGTGTCATATCTAGATACAAATTTATCCAGTCTATTAAGATTTTCGAGCAACAATACGGGCCAATAATATAATATTGCACTCCGGCGCTGGAGCGAGTCATGTGAATTGACCTTAAGGACCGTTGAGGTGCGGAAACGTCCTCAACGCATGTCCTGCTGACAGCTGCGCTCTGTTTCTAATGAGAATAACTTCATTCATTCAGATTCACTGAGCATCGAGTCCATGAGCGCGCTGACAAAACCTCAGCATCAGCCGAGAGGACTGGATTAAAAATCCATACAGCGGCATCAGATGAAACACTAAAGGCTCCACGCACTTGTCAGGTATTGATTCTGTGCGCATAATCTGAGAAACTTCAGCGAGGAGAAAAAGCGCTGTCCGAAGACAATACCTGTCTGCTGTAAATAGATTTTGTAGCGAGTCTGCAAAATAAGCACGTCTCTCTCTCTCTCTCTCTCGCAGCTGCTGTGATAAGCAACTCGCGGCCGAAGCTGTGATTTAACACACACACGAGGAGGCCCTCTGTGCCCCTGATCCTGCAGACGTCTCTGATTCACCACAGCAGACAACACTGGATTTATTTACAGTGTCACTGTTACACGTGTCAAACTATAAAGTATGCATAACTAACCATAAACCAAACCCTAAATATTACTCATAATTACACTGTTACAAAGAAATAAAGGGTTACAGTTTTTTTCAGGTGTCAGTGTTACGGTGTAATTAGGCATAATAAAAAAAATTTGTTCGGTTCCGGTTTCCGACCCTGTCCAATTATGTGCGACCCAAATTTATTTTATGAGCTTGGGGAAGAAATAATAAAAATTAAATAAATACACGAATAAAAAAACTTTGAGGCGAACTATTTCACACATCGTTCGTCAAACTGAACTAATACATAAACAAGTCTTTGTTTTTTGTCGTTTAGGACACTTTTATTCATATACGCACTTGAGCCCGACCGATAAAGGATTTTGAAGGCCGATACCGATACAAATATTTTTGGGTTTTAAAATCCGATATATCGGCCGATATTTATTTGTATTTTTTTCGGAAACACGCAACACAACATTAAAAGATTTCCCTAACATTAGTTATTTGTAGTTATTTATGATTATTTTCACTAAATAATATGCTAATGAATTTTAAAAAGAAACTTGTTTTTTTTTTATCGTCACAACAGAACAGACTGATGGGAGTTGCATTAGCTAGCTTTGTTAGCTAGTCTATGATGAGCCATAATTTAGTAATGGATAACGCCATACTGCAAATTGCACAAATTTTGTCATGCTTATTTGAGTTAAGAGAACTGATGGGGATGATCTTTTAATTGTTATTCAAGCAATATATGTATCGTGACCAACTCAACGATTGTTGCCAACGGGGTTGGTGTAGAGCGCCCTCTGGTGGACAAACTATACAACTCCAACGTGTTTCTCAAGCGTGTTTCGTCCGTTTTTATTTTATTTTTGAAGTATTCATTTATCGGCCATTATAACTGACGATACCGATAGTTTGGAAAATGCCTAATATCGGCCGATAATATCGGTCTGCCGATATATCGGTCTGGCTCTAATACGCACACATCCAAATCCAACCCATGACCTCAATTGACAAACAACCGGAACCAAACTCTTTTTTTTATGCCTTATACATTCAAGTCCTGAGTATTAGTAATAATACTTAACTACATTAGGGCTAGGGTTAAGATGAGTGTTTGGTCGAGGGTTAATTGCATGTGATTATGCATAATCTATAGTTATTACTGTAGTGTGTAACAATGACACTTTAAAATAAGGGTTACCAAAGTATAACCCAAATAATACTAATATAATTGCCAATTTTGAGATCATACAAATTGACAGGACATTACTCTCACTGGAAATATGATTCATAGGTTTTACACATTTTACACTTAACATGAATTGTCTTCTCTTCTTCAGTGTGTCGTATATCCGGAACGAGAACGAGAACGAATGTGGGCGGGGCTTGACTGTGTCTGTGGGGATTTGATTGGATGGTTGTGGTTAGCTATTGGTGGATGTCATGTGATTGACAGGTTGCCCCGCCCTCGTCACCAGAGAAGAGAAGATCTGTCTCTGCACGTTTTCTTTCTTTTTGACCTAACAAAAAAGAAAGTCGAGTGCTGCCAGACTCACACTCATCTCCGCTGGACACACCGAATCTCAGCTCTCCAGGGCTAAAACCTTCGGTGTGGAAGACAAAACACACGCTCAAATCCTTCCATTCCTCCACACACTCACTAAACATCACCTTACATCCCATCTCCATGATTACGTCCACACCAATGACACATGGGCGAGATAACGACCCGAAAAGCAACGCATTATATTCAAATCACGGGTTAGCCTTTCACGACTCCACGCACAAATGCCTTGTTAAAGTCACATTGAAGACCTTGCTTTCTCTCGGCTGTAAAAAGCATAAACCCACACACACACACAAATGTGTGCGGCTGTAATCGGAGTCTGCAGCAAACGTGTAAGAAATGTGCAGAATTTGCCATTGTGTCTGCGAGCCGTGTGCAAGGCTTTCCTTTAAAACCGTTTCAAAGTCAGCTCCGAGTGCTCTGAAGAAATGCAGAAGAAAGCGTTCTCTTTGTCCTTCTCTATAATCATGTTTCTATGACAGCCCGCAATGAAATTTACTCTGAGACGTGGCCCATATCACAACCACGAGTCCAGCACTTTAACTCTGGGGATTCTGGGAAGTCATTGGCTCCCTGATAAGTGTGCATTTGAGGGGTAAACAAAGCTGAACCTGAACTGCGGCTCACGGTCGCGCAAACCCGGCGGAGTGGCACATCGGGACGAGGTCATGGGGTCAATCGCTCACACACAGATGCCCAGGACAGATGTTAATGATGATGATGATAGTGGATTTACGACTCACCTTTCTCCGCATGTCCCATTTGAGCTGCGTCCAGGGAAAGAGAAAGACAGCGATATATCAGGGATTAGCTGGCCCGTTCAAAGCGAGCGCTGATCCCCCTCTTCATAACACGCTGGCATAATTACACCAGTCACTAATCAATCCCAGCCTCACGTAATTTGCCATTTGTCATCCGTTGTTTTTGATTATTCTAATAGAATTAATCCGAGGGTTAGACTCACTGATTAATTAATCAGCAATTACATAGACAGCTGTGCCCCCCCCCCCCCCCCTGCAGACGGAGATGTGATACGGATTACAGATGTGAGCATTAGATGTGTGTGAATCATCTGTGTGAGTACAGGCAAAACTTTTATGATTTCTGTCGATTTAAAAAGAAAAACAAAAAAAAACGTGTTTGGCTCCATCTGACCCCGACAAAGAGACCAACAATACTAATAATAACAGTAATAATAATGTTGCAAGAATTATAAAAAAAAGTGATCATTTAATATTTGACAATCCATTCGGAACCATTTATAATGACACATGTTGGCAAGTGAAAAAACACAATTTCTCTCAGTTGAAAGTGTTACAGCTCTATTTTATCCTTATATCTGTGAAAGAAACAATTTTTAACAAAACATCTGTCAAAATGATTCAAAATGTGCCTAAGGTCACATTTGTGCTCCAGTAAAACCTATAAATAATTCGATTTTAAACATATATTTTAAAAGAAAACTGATACTGAAGAAAACAATCTCCTGCTCATCTTTAAAATGTGAACAAACTCAAGTAAATCCGAGGTTTGATCCAACACAGTTCCCCTAGTTGTGAAAAATCCTCGAGTGAGAATGTATCATTTGAAGCCAATTCTGAGGGATACTAATGAACGCCTAATCATAAAAGGCTTTTGGTTTTCTAAGATGTTGCATTTTGCGCACTTTTACCACAAAGGACTTAAAACAATGTTTCTCTACGAGACGACTCGGGAGTTTTGAATCCGCACAACTCCGAAGCATTTGTCGGGTGATTAGAACGATTGTATTAGAAAGGTTCTATTAGAACGATTGTGTTACAAAGGTTCTATTAGAACGATTCTAGTTCCTGTTGTGTTGTAAAGAAAGAGAATTCTCACTAGAATCCCAGTGACGACAGAAATTCCAGGCGGGCAGTTGAGCAGGGTTAGTGGGGCTCGGTGAAGCACTTTCACTCCGCAGTTGAAATACCTGTGTTCTCCCTGTTATCTAGCACGAAACCCGCACAAATCATCACTACACACACACATGTCCCGTCCGAGGAGCCACCTGGACACATAAACGAACTAAACGTGTGCTCGAGCCACACGTAAAGGTGCGCACGCATTCAAAGCAACAACCGCATAAACTTTTGTTCGTTCCGCTCCAGGGATCGTTAAAGGTGAATGTGTTGGGCACTTACCGGGTGTGTACTGGGCTCCAGCGCCTCCAAACGCAGTGTGCAGGACTACCATGCTGAAAATGATGGTATCCATATCTGTCGGCCGAGTTGAGAAAGTTTTTAAAAGTGTTGGGAATTGTTTCTTATTCCAGCCGATCCGCGCGCCCCATGCTCTCTCTCTTTCTTTCTCTCTCACTCTCTCTCTCTCGCTCTCTCTCTCTCTACGAGTCTCGCGCTCGCTCCGATACTCTGTTGCGCTGCGAGTGGCGAGAGAGAGTGCGTGACGTCACCAGCGCGGTGGCCATTTAGGAGCGGAGAAGCGCGCGCCCCCTACTGACGGACACTGACATCATCATCATCATAATCATCATCACAGTGCGCGCTCACCTCATTCTCCCTCCTGTTCTCGCCGACAAACACTTCAGGTGCTGTTTGCTGGAAAAGTTTTGTGTTTAATACCACTACTACCTGACTGGGAATTGGGAAAGCTATGAGAAATCACTCTGTGACCACCTGAGCACTCGTGTCAGCCAATCACAAAGCCTTTCGGCATGTCAATCATTAAGGGGCGTGGTTTCGCTTATCTGGCAGAAGTTATCAAAACTGTGCAGAAGACTGCATTTAAACTGTCGATAGTTGCGATTTATTTATTTGAAATATTTTTAAACGCTTCATTCAGCAGGTAAATTGCAAAAAATAATGACTTTATGAACACTCTTCCATTGGTCAAACCAACAAAATGGCGACTGAACTAAAAGGGAAATGATATCACTGAGTCTGTTACACATCAATCTGTCAATGGTTTAGGCTAATGTGCAGTGATTGATTTCATACTGATTGTGATCACTCGTGATTGAGAAGTGGAAAAGTTGACATAGGCTGTCTGTGTCCCCAAACGCCACCTATGGAGGACACATTTCAAGCTAGGACGGTCCTACCTTGAAATGTGTCCTCCGCATCAAGGCCCAATGTTTCACTTCCTTTCCCTTGAGAAATCTGATTTGTGAAGGCAACATAGATGTATCCTTCACTGCCTTTGATTTCCCACAATCCCGTGCTTTCCATTCGGTGACAGTTGAAAAATAGAAAAATAAAAGATGGTGGTCAGTTTTGTGTGTAAATGTACATTTTTGACCAACGTTTTGATGTAATTTATAGCGATAAATAGACCTTATTCAGAGCAGCGCCATGACAGGTATGAAAGTGAGGCTGTGAGGGATAGACTTACCGTGTTTCCAATGGCATCCGCTGTAAAAAGCTGAATAAAGCTCCTATATTACTTACAATTTTCCACAGCTTACATTGTCGGGAGTTTTTTGTCAACTGAAATTTCTTGGAGAGATATTTTTCCAGTGTTTCATGAGCAGAACAATCCAAAAACACATTAAATAACAGTACAGCCCATTGAAGAGATGCAAGTCTATCCCTCACAGCCTCGCTTTCATTCTCATTAAAAATCAAAGATGGTGCTGCTGTGAATAAGGCGTATTATGATAAATTACTAAACCCTCATAATTCCCTCAGGTAATTTAGATTTTTTTTTTTTTTTTTTTAAACGAGAGTTCATCAGAGGGGTCCAAGACCCTAGGACCACAAATGCGCCAAAAATAAAAAAGGAAGGAAGGGTGTGGTTTTGTGGTTGAAATTTAAAAAAGTAACAAATCCTTCCCTCACGGGCCAATTTATTCGACCCACTTAGGAATGAACTGAATGTTGAGGAATGCTTCAGTACACATATAAAAAAACCTATAAATGCTCGAAATTCAAACTAAAACTCTCGTGTTTTGGCGAAATAGGTCATGTGCTCCATATAGCCTATATAAGGCCATCTAGTGGCATGAACATCAGATATTTTGAGCTGAAGTAAAAAATAAAATAAAATTATTGCATTCAAATATATAGAATAATTGCAAAATGAAATCAAATAAGCTTTCTGGACAAAAAAAAAAAAAATGTAAGTATGATTTTAGGGTTTTGAGTCATTTTGACCCGAGAAAGAAAGATGTGTTACAAAGTGCGAGGGAAGGAGGGTTAAATATTCGCTTTTGCCCAAGCTCTCTGTTTTGCTGTAGTAACAGTTACGCTGCCTCAGAAGTCTGAAATCAGTGTCACTCGTGAGGATCCTGGCTCTGTGTGCAAATGCTGCCTTCAAAGGCAACAAGTCACTGCCTAATTTTTGGGACGCAGCCCTAGACATATGTGTAGGGGTGTACTGAATACACTGAACCCAATGCGTTCAGATGTGGAGATGTTGACAGGACTGCGTCTGGAGAAATGCAAGACAGAGAGAGAGGGAGAGAGAGAGATACATGGAGGGAGGAGAGGAAGGAAAAAGTAAGAATACACGGCAAACAACAAAGTGAATGAGTGAGCCGCTCGAGGCTGCAGGTATTGCAAAAATGAAAGAGAAAAAAACATAGCCGAGCGCTTCAAACAGTCGCTTTGATAAACAAGGTTATGTGTACATAGTACCAGAGGAGTAAAGGTAGGCCACGTTTATTAAAATATCTGTTTTCATCTCTCTCTCCCCGTCTGGTTTGCTCACAGATGCCGGTTCACACAGCAGCTGAACGCGCTTCTCAATACACTCCAGCCTCCACAGAGGAACAGCAGCAGCTCGGGCACACTTATTTACAGCTACATTTATTCATGTAGCTGACGCTTTTATCCTATACATGTCAGAGGTCGCACGCCTTTAGAGCAACTAGGGGTTAAATGTCTTGCTCAGAGACACAATAATGTCTCACAGTGGATTCGAACCCGGGTGTCTCACACCAAAGGCATGTGTCTTATCCACTGCGCCACCCCAAATGATGCATCGAGTCTGTAACTTTGTAGGCTACTTACATTAAAAAAAAGGGGTTACAGTGTCCTTGTTACACATGTTACATATCATTTTCTTTAATAAAAACAAAACGAAGCAGTAATCCAGCGAGAGTGTACATTGCAACAGTGTGTACAAAAACACAACCAATACCAGACAAAACTGAATGAAAAAAATCTTTGATAATGAAACTAAAACTATGAATGCTCTCTCTCTCTCTGTGTGTGTGTGTGTGTGTGTGTGTGTGTGTGTGTGTGTGATATTGCTTTTAACAGTTATAAACAAGACATTATTGATTTGCTAAGATTTCTACGGAGGCGTATTGCATTCACTTGAAGAAAAAAAATCTACTCTGTTTTTCTGAATTAATGAGTTAATTTTTCATGAGAAAAAAATTTTTTTGCTCTGTTTTTCTGAATTAATGAGTTAATTTTTCATGGAATTTTTTTTTTTTTGCTCTGTTTTTCTGAATTAACGAGTTAATTCAGAAAAAAACAGAGCAAAAACGTTTTTTTATCACGAAAAATGAACTCATTAATTCAGAAAAACAGAGAAAAAAATATTTTCTCATGAAAAATTAACTCATTAATTCAGAAAAACAGAGCAAAAAAAATTTCTCATGAAAAATTAACTCGTTAATTCAGAAAAACAGATCAAAAAAACATTTTCTCATGAAAAATTAACTCATTAATTCAGAAAAACAGCAAAAAAAAATTCTCATGAAAAATTAACTCATTAATTCAGAAAAACAGAGCAATTTTTTTTTCTCATGAAAAATTAACTCATTAATTCAGAAAAACAGGGTAGATTTTTTTTCTTCAAGTGAATGCAATACGCCTCCGTAGATTTCAGATGCAATATGACCATTGATTTTGGTTATTTCTGCTCTGTAAAATGCTAAAAAAAACAACAACACAGTGAACACAGACAAGCAGGGTGATACGAACAGTGAAGTAATTCAGTGCCGTAATATGAGCCATTGTAACCATGTTTGAAGGTAGAGCTGGATCATCTCTGAAGGACTGTGTGAGAGCTTACAGTGTTACGGTGTTGTAGTCAGGTCACTTCTCCTGAAATACATGTAGAAATACATGTAGAGTACTGTATATTTGCCTGTTAGACAGTAAATCAAAGTATCTGATGCAAAACCCTGCTGTAAGAAAAGTCAATTTTCACACAAACAGATTTGCAAAGGTATTGCGTTCCGCTTCAAGCCAAACACAAATGAAGAAGCAGATGCATGCACACATTCGTAACTGTAACAAGATGAAGACAAAGGTATGAGGAACTTAAATACATGATGTTGATGAACTAAATGATGACCAGTGATGATGAGTTATAGTGTCCATGGTTACTGATGAGTGGCGGGAAAATAGAACAAATGAAACATGTGACTGAAGACAAACAAAATGAAAGTTAAACTAACTGAACATAAATGTGACGGTAACATCACCTTACTTCAGGTTTATGTCAGTGTTAGTTAGTTAGTTAATATTACCTAACTAATGATAATAAATGAAACCTTATTCTAAAGTATTATCAATATTTTTTTCATGTCTCGCAATTTGTTTCTCTGATCTTTGTGTCTGTTACAGCAGACGCTGTTAAATGTTTATTAGCATGCATAATATCGACTATTACAGCACAGTCATTATCACTCTGAATGATAAACTGTGGCTGTCTTGAATCTGGTCCTCATAAGCTTCAGTCTCAGCAGGATAATGAAGGTTAATTATGAATGAATAGTGTTTATGATGATAAGATGTGCACAGTGCTGCCCCGCCCAGGTGATGACCCGCCCCTTCAGTCACTCTCACACAGATCACGAGAGGACTTCATGTGATTACAGATGAGACTGGAAACGCTCTTCATCCATGTCTCCTCTCATCTCCTTCCCCCTCTGTTAAATGCTAATCATGAAATGGATCATTTCAGCCCTGGCTTCTGGTTGGTTAATGCAGTGCTCCAGTCACACATATGTCTGCACAGTACCTGTAGAGATCATCTAATAAAGTCGGCATGAAGCTGACGTTGCGCTGGTCTTTTCTTCCTTAATGTGATGTAAATCTGAGCGAAAAGGCTTCAGAAATAAGAACAAATGTAGGGCTTGATTGTGAATGAATTACATTGAAGTAGATACAAAAATGTTTGATTGGTTTATTTCACGTTACGCCCAGACCACACCTATGAATAATGAAGCTACATCAGACCAACCCCTTTTAGATTTGCACCAGGCGCAAGAAGCATTTATCCCGCCGGGAAAATAGCAACAGCGCCGGGACCCGCCCACAAAGTTACTTGCGCTTTGCGCTTTGACACTTGCATTTCAGATCGTCAAAATAGGGCCCATAGGAATCAAAAGACAAATAAACAAAACATAATCCTGATCGTACTCCCCCCTCACGCCAAGGG